TAGCAAAGATGGGAGTGATTAACTTACCAGTCTAGGAGAGGAGGACCCTGGGACCATCAATGGAGAAGAGCGAAGAGCGGAATCCTACCCAGAGAGGCGGTGAGGCCTGAGATGGAGGCAGAGAAGATGACGTCAAGAGATGATGTGGCTGGGGACTCGGGATCAGGAGATGGAAAGGGGCTGAGGACTGTGGTGGTGGTGGTGGTGGTGGGGGTGCAGGCTTACAGGGTATACCCCTTAGTTGAGTGAGGATGCATGGACGGGATGGTAACTATGCCAATGAAATGATGGATGAGGGAATGAATGTAAAGCTGATGTTCTCCCATGTAAACTATCACACAATTCACAATAAAACATTTTTTAAAAAAGTGCCCTTTGTAAACCCAACTGTATGACATGAGGAGATTTCAAAAACTTATAGAAAATTTTAGTTATCTTATTTTAATTCCAATTTTCCAAAAAATTTATGAAGGCCCTTCATATATATATAATTTGTGTAACATATATATATAATTTGTGTAACATATATATATAAATTTGTGTAACTAAGTTAACTTCTTTTTCCCCCTTTCTGAATAGGTCAACCACTCTCCATTTTTATTTGAGGTATTTTTCTATGCTCCCATAGATGATGAGAACAGCAAAGCCAAGATTGGCAACAATGTTATTGTCTTTACCTTATATAAAAAGGAAGCGGCCATGTGGGAGACCCTGTCTGTGTCAGGTGGTAAGTTCGTTATTAAAAGACGGTCTTTTCATGTCCGGTGTAACCAACCAAAAAGCTACTTCAGCCATGCCGCGTGAAGAGACTGAAGAGAGTTAAATCACTTATGCATAAATACGAAACAGTTTTAGCCTTCCCTAAATATCTGCTTCAAAGGTTTTTGGCTAAACACAGTTTATATGTTGTTAAGTTCTGCGGAGTGGGTCCAATTCATAGCAATCCTGTATTGGGTTTCTGAGGGAAGAGCAACTGGTGGGCTTGAACCTACGACCTTGCTGTTAATAGTCTAGTGCTTATCCTACAGTGTCACACCAAGATATTTTGCAAAAGCTAACAGTCACATCTGTACATTCCATTTCCAAGGACGGGTATTTTGATCTATGAGATGAACAAAAAAGAAAGCTCCTTTAATTAGTTCTAAGTGTTGCCTAAGGAGTCCTGGTATGGCACTGTAGGATGAGCACTTCATTGCAAGGTGGGTTTGAACTACAAGGTCAGTGGTTCAAATCCACTAGCTGTTCCTTAGAAGCCCTATACAGGGTTGTACTGACTCGACAGACTTAAGGACAACAACATGTTACCTAACAAAAGCTCTTACTGCAACTATACGTTTTATCTTTAACTTAAGGGAGGCTGTGCCCACTCCAGACTAGTCCAGTTCATCTTTAAAGCTGACCTCTATTGGAATGTTTTAAGTTAGACTCTAGCACCCTCAGCTCCTGGACTTGGGGGTATTATTTTAATATTTTTATACATTGAGTCATCGTTGTGCTTTCCCTATTTTATACTTTTAAAAATTCTCTTTTAAAATTGTTTTGTCCTTGGACCGGGGTGGGGGTGGGGGTGAGAAGAGGAGGCACACAAGTCTGATTTAAATGAGCTGTCACTTAAATAAACCCAAAGATGGAATTATTCAAAAATGTAGAGCACATTGGTAATTGCCCATAAGCAGATGTGGGTGTGACTCTTACATGGGTGCGTAAACCCTTCTTACTCCATAAGGCCTTTATTGAGCACTTAGGGCATTAGTGCACCTGTTAATCTTCACAACAATGTTATTACTTAGGTTTGTTGGCTATTTTTTCAGATGAGACTACCAAGATACAGAAGGGTTTGACTAATTGGCAAAGTTCACACAGAAAATGCTTCTCAACTCTGGCTACATATTAGAATTGCCTGTGGAACTTTTAAATCGTACACATGCCTGAACTACACCCTAGACCAATCAAATCGTTTTCTGGAAGTAGGATCTTGGTAGTTTTAAAAAAGTTTTCCAGGGATTATAATGTGTGGCCAAACATCCTCACAACAGTTTTAAATCTAATTGTCTGTGCCTCTCAGTACTCTATTTCACTGCAAAGATCAGAATTGTGGGTCAGTAAGTTCTGGTGTGGCACTGTGGGATAATGTGCCAGATTGAAAAGCCATTTGAACTGCAAGGTTGGCAGTTCAAGCTCACAGCTGCTCCTCCGGAAACCCTATACAGGGTCGCTATGGATCAGAACCGACTTGACGGCACTTCACAACAACAACAACAACTGCCTCCTGTTAGAGTCCTGGTATGGCGCTGTTGGTTAATGCGCTGGACTTCAAGGTCGGTTTGAACTGCAAAGTTGGTGGTTCAAGCTCATCAGCTGTTCCTTGGAAACCCAGTACAGGATCACTATGGGTCAGAACTGAGTCAGTGGCATGTAACAACACCAATTGTCTCCTGTTGCTTTTGTCCTATTTCTCTCCTCCCTCTTCTAGTTATCATCTTTTCTGGTACTTAATTTTATTAATTTTGCTAACTTTTTGTGACTCAGGTGAAGGTTTTCCGAGCAAATCTGTTTTCCATTCAATATTACACACATGATTTGTTTCATCTCATTGATTACAGCCCCCACAGTATAACATCAGTTCCCCATTTCGTATTTCCATGCCTCTTTCTTTCCTTACCCTTCTGAACTTTTTTCTTGGACGAATGCTGCCCTTTTGATCTCAAATGGTTGATTATTAGGATTGCTACCTCCCCAATGTTACTGTTCCCCTTAAAGATCTATCTATTGTCTGGCTGAAAATTGAGCCAATTTTCCAGACCTAAAGGGTGATTAAGGGTAATAATAGTCTCTCAGATGTTCCTTCCTTAATCCTTCCTGGACCCGTAAACCTGGTCTTTTGTTACGATTTAGAGTTTTGTTCTACATTTTCCTCCATTTTTACCCAGGACCTTCTAATGTGATTGCTTTCAGTGTAGTTGGTAGTGGTGGTTGTTGTTAGGTGCCCTCGAGTCAATTCCACCTCATAGCTAGTCTATGTATAACATACACTGTCTGGTCCTGTGCCAGCCTCACAGTTGTTAAGTTTGAGCCCATTTCATTGAGGTTCTTCCTTTTCTTT